CGGAACGCCTGCCCAACTCTCGTCAGGACTCACGCACTCGTTCGAACTTAATATAGAGCCACAGAACAATTATCAGCTTAAGTAAGAAGTACTTAGAATATACAAGCCACAACTCCAAGGTTAACAATTATAATTACAACCCACCAACCAAGAGTAACAAAAGTTATACTTTAAGAGTCACCAAATTCATACTAAAATATACTAGCTTCCACCAAAAGTTGCTAGTGTAGGAACTCCAATTTTCACCTCCAAAGCCTGTTAAGGAAGAACAAACTTAAAGGGATGAGCTAACACTCAGTGAGGCCAAGAAAACAAGCAAGCAAGTAAGCACGTAGAACCAATTAATCGAATAGCATGCTTAAAAGCAACTTTAAACATGACATTTCATTTAAGTGCACAAGTAATAATTAACACACAAGGAGTGATACATGAGCTCTCAAGAGTTATTTCCACGTCTCAACCGGTTCAAACCATCTGGGGTTGACTCTCCGTCAACCCAAGTAGTAATATGACCGTAGTGCTCCACTTACTTCCTCCATCCAACATAACACCCTTTCGGATCCGGAACCAAACACGCATGCATGAGGTGACGATACTATTCGAATATGCCAAGCGAGATCTCAAAAGATTAAGCTATAATATTGTTCAAGGTTCACCAAGCTTCTCGACCAAATCCTTGCCGGCTCGAGTTACAAGGTTAGCCAATGGGTTGAGGCATCCTCGCAAGTATAAAGGTCGATGAGACAATGCTTCAATCGATTTAGAGGCAATCATAGTTCTGAGTCGGGATGAGCAGTACTGCCTACCCGAATAGGGCGTGATACCCTTAGCCGCTCAGTGCTTACGACTTAAAACATATTTATGTACAAGTACAAGTCATATATATTTATCTAACAAGTATCATGTAATCAGGAGAGAGAGAGAAAGAGAGAGAGAACGAGAGCGGTAAAGTACACCACTGTCTCGGCAAATTCACGTATCATATAGCACTTATACAAATCTCAATTTAATCATATTAACATCAAACATGCACTTGGTACTCATCAAAAGTCAAGGCAAAACAAGAGCAAAGCGAGAGTCAGATGAGCTCTTCGACGTTCTCGTGACCACCTGAGACATGCAAAACCATGATTATCTAGGTACTCGACCAAGGTTATAAAGAAAAATATTTTCTTGCTACCTACTCTCAAGGTCACAAGTCGAGTCGAGTTAAAAGAGCTTTTCTCACTAAAACTTTGAAATAATGCTCAAAGAGAACTCGAACGTCGTTTTCGATTCATGTCGTGATAAGTAATATCAATTTCAAAAGAAAGTGTCATATATACTTTCGGCACGAAAATCGAAAAAAGGAAAAATGATTTTCATTTCTCAAAAACTTCTAGTCCTGTGTCCAAGTTTTAAGAATATAAGGAATGTTCACATTATCCAAACTAATGGAGTTAAAACTCATCCAAAACTCCACTCATTTTCATAGTAAATGTCAAAACTAACGGTTTCAAGGTTCGAGTATAAAACTAGTGAAATTCACTAAGAATTACTCTAGTGAAAACACTCCCTTTTTAGAGTTCAAACTCATGGAAATCGAGGGCATAAGAATAGGGATTGAAGTCCATAACTCAAGTATGAAAAGAGGTGCTATTAGCCAAGAAAGTTAAGCAACCAAGAAGAATCATCAAAAGAGGTTTAATCCTTTGGAAACCAAGATTCAAAATAAAGATTTAAAGTTCAAAAGTGACGTTGTGTTCAACCATGAAATTAAACTTAAAACCGACTACAATCTCAAAGAGAAGTTGAAAGTGTTTAAAAGAGTACTTTGGTTGAAACCAGAAAATTTCCAGTTTGGTGCGACACTACTTGAAAAAATTGTATCTCGAGTTCCGTAAGTTCAAAATTTGGAAACTTTATACCGCTGAAAACTAGACTCAATGCACTAAATTTCTCTAGAAGACACTTTCCTCAGACTCCAATTCGAAATCATTCAAAGTTTGGTTCAAAGTCACTATTTCAAATAGGACAGAGCAAAACAGGTTTACAATTTCAATAAAGTTTGGAAATTAGGCAAAATTTGTAGAATGGAATCCCTTGAAATTTATACCACTAATAGAATTCCAAATCTAGTTTCAAATGCAACAAACGGAACCCAATTCGGACCTTTCTACATCAAGATACAATGGTTTTAAGAAAACTGAATTTTGGAACCTGTTATACGAAATTTCCAATTTTAAAGGCTTGACAGAGTTTCAAAATCTGGTTATAACTAAAGTTACATAATTAGTGTGGTTTGTGACGTTGAGAACAAGAGTCAAAATTCTAAAAATCATTAGAAGGAACTATCTTAAAATTCTATAGACACCAAATTTTGAGCTTAAACTTTATTCATTTAATTAATTTAATTTTAGACTTATTTGATTCAATTTTAGGTTTTTATTTTATTTTTTTCTTGTTTCGTGTCTCTCATTTTATTTTAATTGATTTAAAAAAAGGAAAAAAGAAAAGAGAAAGAAAAACAGTAAAAATGGCAAGTGGGGGGCATGCATTGGGACAAGTGTCCATTTGTATTTTGGACAACCCAACACCTAAGGGATTAGGTGTCTAGACACTTGGTGGCTTAAGGAATTGGGGATGGCCGGCTGAAAAGGGAAAAGAGAAAAAAGCCACGAAAAAAGGGGGAGCTACGGGGGAACTAGGAAAATCGGAGAGAGGAAGAAAAAGGAGGGCGGCGGATGGGGATAAGAAAAGAAAAAACTAAGGCGTGGCTGGGGTTTGGAGGGTAGCAAAAGGAAAGAAACAAAAAGAAAAAAGAACAACGCCGCCAGAAAGGAGACGGCGGAGAGAAAAAACAGAGGGAAAGTGGCGGCAGACAAAGATTAGCAAGGGGGAAGCTATCGGCCAGGCAAGAAAGAAAAGAACAGAGCAAAAGGAAAAACGACGGAAACTAAAAAAGGGGGATCTTCGGCTAAGGAAAAACAAGAAGAGAGCTATGAGGGCAGAACCAAGAGAGAAAAAAGGACTTAGAGAGTAAGGGGTGGCAGGAAGGTTTGAGGAGAAAAGAACCACGGACCAAAAAGAGAAGGGTGGTGGCTAAGGCTGATGATCTGGGCAGCGAAGGAGCTGGAAAAAGCTGAGAAGGAAACCGAGAGAGCTCTCGGATGGAGGGGCTGAAAACGCAGATAGCAAAAGACTAAGAAAGAAATGGCAGCAGCAGCGCCGCCACCGCCTTCATCCCCTGCTGCCATTCTCGAGACCATCGTTCCAGAAACTGCCGTCACTCACTGAGCCATCACCATCTCATCGGACACCCATCACCATCGTCTGCAAATCTTCAACCGAACAGATGCGGTAAGTCATCTTTCCCCTTTAAGAATTATGTCTTCTCTTCAAGCTTAGACCCATAAGAATCTCAAAACAGAGATTGGCTTATTGTGATTTTTATGTTGATTATACGCCATTTTGAGCATACATGCTTTCTGTGTTGATTGGGATTGAATGTCTTTATGTTTCTTACCAATTCTTGGGCTGATTAACTTCAAATTGAACAGAGAATCGGTGGATTTTCTTATGCTTATTTGGTGTTCGACGAAATGCCGAGCTAAAAAATACTTATTGAAAGATGCTTTGTTTGCAATTTTTTTTTCTCGTGTGAAGAAATCGGTTAAGTTGGTCAATTCGTTTCCTCACGTTTGAGAAATTTTAATGCATTGCTGTCTTCCATTTTTCCGTTTCTCATGATTCCGGTCGAATGAACTCAAACTGAAATGGTAAGAGAAGAAATTTGTGTGATTTTCATGTTGATTGAAAAGGGCTTGAATAAAACTGATTTTTCAAATTGGCTCTGTTGTAAGAAAGACGGAAGTGTCGGATTGATGTCTGATCCGTGGGGAAGAAGACCGGTGGTCCGAAACTACAATTTCAGTCCCTCCATTTTCGTTGTTTTTGTAATTTAACCCCAAAGTTTTGGGACTTCATAATTTTGCCCCCAAGACTTTTATAAATGCTTTCAATTGGGTCCCTGTTACAATTGCAAATTAGTCCCTAAACTTTATCTTTCTTTCAATTTTTGCCCCAAAGTTCTGGGAATCATGATTAGGCCCTAAAAACTTTCTGATATTTGCAATTGGGTCCTTGGCAACTCCATTGCTTGTTTACTTCAATTAGCCACCATACTTTGTTTAAATTGTATTTAATTCATAATTTTAAGGTCTTTACAACCAAGCGAGTTTGTGTTTTGCATATTTTTTTTAATTTTTTCAAATAAATTGGTACCCTGACCTTTTCTTTGATTTTTGAGGGTAAATAAGCAATTTCATTCCATTAGGGCGCCAACTCAAGGGAGGTACACCCTATCCCTTATTTCTTACTTTATTTGACCTTACGTGCCCTATGTGACTTTACGTGTTTAATTGCATGCCTCTTTTTTTTTTTTCTCGAAAGCAAGCTTTATTTAATCCAAAAACAGTTACAAGAGATTTGGAGATTCCTAGCCCTTACTCAAGCACTAATCTAAAAGACGGGACTTGAGCGGCATCCATAGCAATACAACCCCGAACCTCCCTTGGTAGGAGCTGCGGGGAATCAAAAACCTTACTCGGACAACCTTGCAAAGCAGCTAACCTATCCGCAACCCCATTTGCCTCCCGGAATATATGCCTAAACGACATAGCAACCTGATCCAACAGGCGACGAATCCACCGTAGCACACTGCAATACAGCCAACCTCCCAGTACCGATGATTTAACTAAGGACACAAGTACCGCCGAGTCCACCTCCACTAGAATCCCTCGTAACCCCTTGGTCGCACACATTAAAAGCCCCTCTAATACGGCCAAAGCCTCAACATGCAGTACTCCTTTGTCCCCAAACTCCTTATAGAATGCAAAGATAAGTCTACCATGTGAGTCCCGTAGCACTCCTCCTCCACTAGCCTTCCCGTTGACCACACTAGCATCCGTGTTTAGCTTGTATTGTCGGGGCGGAGGCATTGCCCAAGTTACCACCACTGGTCACCGTTTATGGGCCGTACCCGCTGCTAACCGTGCCCACTCGCAATCCCGGTCACCCCGAAACTGTGCCTTATCCAGCCTATTTGCTCTTCCCAGGTCGTGCAAGAAGTTGCCAACTTCCACGATGACCCCCCTAGCCGAAAATTCCTGCCCTTCGAACCTTGCCTTATTTCGTCCCCGCCATATGAACCATGTAACCACTAACGGTAGGACACACCGAATATGATGAGCAGGGATGTGAGTCAACGAAGTGGCCCACATCCTCCACACAAGCTGAATATCATCAGGAGGGCAGTGAAGAATGCCAAACTTACTGGCAAAATGTCCCCAAACCTCCCTCGCTATTGGGCCATTAACGAAAAGATATGGCAATGATTCCGCCTCTTGTAGACAGCAGGAGCACCTGGATACCAAGGGCAGGCCACGTCGACGCATCACCGAGTCCAAGGGCACAAAGTTGTTCAACAGCCTCCAAGCAAATAGTGAAATTTTTATCGGTGTACCCTTATTCCAAACCAGTTGAGGCAGTGCCAATGCGGTCCGACGTTGCCGGCACAGCTCCCAAGCCGAAGTTAAGGAAAATTGCCCTGTCGCCGATTTCGCCCACAGGATATAATCCTGCCCCTCAAGGTCGAAAGGAATCTCCACTATCAAATCCACCAGAGTGGCCGGGAGCCAGTGAAGAAGTCTGCCTCTGTTCCATCCTTCCCTATCAAGGAATTCCGCCACCAAAAAATGTGGTCTGTCGCTCTCCGCCGGAACCAATGCAGTTAAAGGGCCCAACTCGCACCACGTGTCCAACCAGAAATCCACCATTCCCGGGCCGAGACTCCATGAAATTTGTTTCTCCGCCACCTCCCGTATACCTAGCAATCGCTTCCATGTACCAGTCGGCCTTGGTACCTCCGCTTTCAACGGGTGCTGGTCCCCAATATACTTGGAGTACATAAAATCCGACCACAAGGAGCCCCTTTGACGTAGCCTCCACCACAGTTTATACGAGAAGGCTTTGACCATGTCCTCCAGCAGCCTAACCCCTAACCCACCTTCCTCCGTGGGAAAACACAGCTTCTCCCAGGACGCCCAATGCGTTCGTTTATCGTCCTTGGATTTATCCCATAGGAAGGAGTTGAATAATCTTCCCAGGGCAACAAACACTGCCTTGGGGGGTTTAAGCACCTGTAGCAGATAGAGCGGCATGGAATTCAAGACATGTTTTATAAGAATTAATTTTCCTCCCATGGACAACAACTTCCCGCTCCAGTGGAAGATCCGTGCCCTCACTCTTGCAAGAATCCCATCAAAGGCAATAGAGGAACATCGACCTCGGGAAATGGGGACACCAAGATAAACCAGCGGGAAAAATTGCCTCGGAAAGCCCAGAATGCTAGCCACCAGCTCCACCTGCGTCTCCGACACCCAAGAGGAGCACACAAAACCACTCTTTGCCACATTAATCTTCTGTCCTGAATACTGTTGGTACCGTTTGAAGAAGTCACTAATAGCTTCTAATGTCTCCCGTGCAAGCCTGGTAAAAATAATGACATCATCGGCGAATGCCAGATATGGAATCTTAATTCCACTCGCCTGAAAAAATCTGTGTCTACCATGCTGAAACAGGGAAAAGAGCCCTTTGCCAAAAAATTCCGCAACTAGCACAAAGAGTCCTGGAGAGATTGGATCTCCTTGTCTGACCCTCTCGTTGACTTGAAGAATCCAGCCGGCTCCTCATTAACTAGCACTGAGAACCAATTATTGGCGACCAAACGGAAAATCAGATCAACCGCAGGTTCTTGGAAGCCAAACGATCTAAGCATGAACAAGAGAAAGGACCACTCCACTCTATCATATGCCTTCTCCATATCAAGCTTTAACAAGAGGTTCGGAACCTCCAAGCGACGGTCCAATTCTTTGGCATGTTCTTGCACCAGGAGAATGTTATCCATTATTTGACGGCCCAGAACAAAGCCAGACTGCCAAGGAGAGATCAGTTGGGGTAGGAGCTGATTCAGCCTATTGGAAACTAATTTAGATATTATCTTGGAGCTTACATTACATAGACTGATTGGCCGGAATTCCTGCCACCGAGTAGCCCCCTGAATTTTGGGTATCAACACAATCAATGTACTGGTTACTCCTTTTGGCAGCCACCCCCCTCTAAAATAATCCTGGATAGCAGCCACTAAACTATCCTTAACTATCTCCCAGCACGCCTGGTAAAAGCCTGACCCAAAGCCGTCTGGACCAGGGGCACTATCAGGACTGATCGAGAACACCACTTCTCGCACCTCATCCGTTGTTGGCAGGGCCAGCATTCTCTCATTATCCCCCGGAGACACCTGTGGGAGAACAAAAGGCAATACTGGCTGCCGATCAGTATCCCTATCCGAACTGAATAACGCCTGGAAGAATGCTGCTGCCGAACTCTTAATGTCCTCAGCCTCAGTCAGCCACTGCCCCGTCGTACTCCGAATCCCAGAAATGCAATTTGAAGCCCGCATTTGCCGAACCACAGAATGGAAGAAAGCCGTGTTCGCATCCCCCTCATGTATCCATTTTATCCTCGACTTTTGACGCCAAAACCCACACTCAACAGCCAATTGCTTCATATATGCCGCCCGAGCCTCATGATAAACAATCTTCGCTGCCACAGTTCTCCCCGTATCATACTGCATTTCGGTAGTCCGCATATCCCTCTCGAGCTCCGCCACCCGGGTCCCTATATTCCTGAAAACCTCCTTGTTCCATACCCTCAACTTGCTCTTCACCCCCAACAGTTTTTGATAAAATTCTGACATCGTACGTGAAGGGCCTCCCCCTCCCCATACCTCTTGAACAACCCCAAGAAAGGACCTGTGACGGGGCCACACATTGAGATACCTGAAGGCCGATTTACCCTGCCTTCCTGAACCACACTTGATCAGTAATGGCGCATGATCTGACCGTCCCCTGGACAGGTGCAACACTCGTGTCACTGAACACATCTCAGCCCACTCCTGGTTAATCACCACTCTATCCAATCTCTGCCATACCGTCCCATTCGTCCAGGTATACTTAGGTCCTTCGAATTCTACCGTAGTAAGGCCACAATTAAAGAGCGTATGATTGAAATCCTCCATATGACGTGGGTTCGGTGCTGCACCCCAAGCCTTTCTGACGCCTCCGTGATGATATTGAAATCCCCAGCCACCATCCAGGATCTTTGTCTCAAAGACGCCAACCTCTCCATAGCACTCCAAAGCGGACGTCTAGCCACCCCAGTACATCGGGCATAGACCGCGGAGAAAAAGAACGACCCAACTGGAGAACTGATCTCCATATCCACTAACTGCTCCGCTAGCGTGCTAAAGCTGATGTTGAGAATAGGATCCCAAAGAACCCAAATCTTACCCTCCGCCAGGGAAATTGCTGATGGGAAACCAACCATTCTTTTGACATACTCTAGGCGGCCCTCCTCCGACATAGGCTCCAACAAAACCAAAAGTTTCACGTTATAGTCTACTATTAATTTTTTTAAATACCGGAGTGAATCCATCTTAGACGCACCCCTTATATTCCAGACTAGAAAATTAATCATTCCGAGCATTAGCATTAGAACGAAGGGCATACCTAGTACGAGTTTCCCCTGCCCTTATGCTTGATCGTGGGTGCCGGACCATACGTGCCTCCTCCTCCACGAAATCCACGTGTGGCAACCTCTGCTCCTCTGTCACTTTAACCTCTGCGGATTCCTTCCAATTCGACTCCATCCTGCGCGAGTGCCCCAACCGCTGTGTCAACACCTCCTGCATGTCCCGTAGGTCCTGGTGCCGCAACTCACTTGCTGAATCTCCACGGACTGGACTGAGCGATCTAGCCCTCCTCAGAATGCAAGCTGGCCATCCATCAAGCTCGTCACACACCCTATTGAGGATCCCAAATGAGTTCCGTAGCTGTACCGACTCTACCGCTTTCTCCTGGACAACCCCCTTACCCCCTGCTTGTGCCAGCACCAACGCCATTATACCCCTCGTATCTGTCTTCCCCTCTTCCTCAGCACCCATGGATGCCTCGCTCTCCCCCTCCTGCTCCTGCCCACCCCCTTCCGCCACTGCCACTGCACTTCCTGCCAAGTCCCCATCCGGTGCCTGCCGCATCGGTGGGACCTTCTCTGCCAGACTTTTCCCTTTATCCTCTCACCCCTCAGGCTGCCCCTGATCCAAAACGAACGCCTCAGCCCCTTCAACTCCGCCCGCCTCTCCAGCCATCGTCGACTGCTGCATACCCCGCCGCACCTTTTTCCCCTGCCGCGGAATCCATGTGGGCCGAGGGAGTGTCTGCTGCGGTTGCGGATTTTTGTTAGGTTTTAGCGCTGGGTTCTTCTTGAAACATATCTGCTGATCGTGGCCAAACCGTTCACAAAAATGACAAAACTCTGGCCAGTCTTCATATTCAACATTCTGCCAGAAACCATACTCTTCCTCCCCTATCCAGATCCGCGTCACAGGCGTCTGGGTTACATCCATCTCAACCAGCACCCGGGCTACCGAGGGCCGCCGCAGATCCCCCGTTGCTGCATCGACCTTCAACAGACGACCCAACACTGAGGCCAATTTATTCAGTACCTGCCTGTCGAAGAACGGTATGGGTAAGCCAGGAAAACTGACCCAGACCGGCGCAATTGAGATCTCTTTGTTGGCTTTGAAATCCAACGACCACTTCGAAAGAGTCATAGGCGAACTCTTTATGAACCACGTACGGCGGACAAAGAGTCTAGTGTAATCCTCCTCCAGTGTTGGTCTGATGAGAACGTGATTCGAATCTAACAAGGCGACCGCACACTCCCCCTTCAGACCCAACTCCAGAAAGAACTTCCGCACCGTCTCCATGGGTGGCCTGCTGTACGAGAATCGACCCACAAGTGCGTGCTGGAATGGAAGAGCCAATTGCATGATATCCTTTTTCGCGATTCTGAGGGCCGGTTCCCCTCTAAACGTCGATACCGTCCCTGGATTAAACCCCTCCTCACTGCCGTTATCCGCTACCACCGTCGCGAAACTCCTCAAAGCATCCCCTACGGGCCATACCGGCTGCTGGAGTGCCGCCATGGCCTGGCTGCCCACTTTGGCGAACCCTAACTTTCCTTATCAGTCTAAAACATATGCCGTTGAGAGAGTCATGCATGCAACTCGCTTCTTAAGTTTTCACCACTTTAATCCAATAGAAATCCAATTTTTCAGAATTGAACCGCAAAATGCTAATTGCATGCCTCTTGAATGTTTATTTATTTATTTCATTTATTTATTTATTTGCTTCATTGGCTTTAGTTTTGTATATTTATTTTTGTTCAATTTTGATCATTTGAAAGGCACTTGAATGCCAAATTTGTAATAGTTAGGTACTTAATATTTATTTTATTTCCCCTTTTAGATTGTAGTAGGGCCTCCCTAATGTAATAGATAGGGCTTCCTTTGCTTGATTTGTCCTGTGATTTGCATGCTTACTTGTTATGTGTTATCGCTTTCCTAGGGTTTAGCATCTAGATATGCATGTTTATGTGTTATGTGAATTACGTGCCCACATGCCTACTTGCTTTAACTATGCCCATTTACTTGTGTATATATGGTGAATGCAAATGCACGATATAACCGTGACTAGTCCAATGCTAGTCATGGCTGTTTATTCCCGATCACTCATAAGTCCAATGCTTGTGAGAGAGCGTTAGTAAATGGCTAGTCCAATGCTAGACCTAATAGGGCCGTCCCTTGCTAGTACATACTCGCATGCCCTCGCTACATTTTCATGCATTTTTCTTAGTATGTTTTACATTTTTGCATGATCCTCTCCCCTTTCCCACATTCAAAGTATGATCTTTAGGATTTTGCATTTCACTCTAGTCATTAGGGTCATTTGCCTGATTAGGTTAGGGAGTCACCGTTCTAGTAAGGGGAATGGACGAGTTTGGCTACACATAGCCTTAGCACGCTCATTCTTTTTCTAACCAAAAGGAAAAGCAAAAGTCACGATTTAGGGTCTCCCCGTACCCGTCTTGCTTGCATTCCTCTAGGGTTCATGCATTTCATTTATCCACTATTACTTTGCACTCTTACTTCATATTCTATCCCTTTTTCCATATTTTCACTTCACACAACTCTTATTTTGTACATTTTCACTCTGCCACTTGCACTTTATATACTACCACTGAACACACATGCACTTCATGCTATCACTTTACATACCTCACCTTGCATCCCCATTTGCACACTCCCACCTACACGCTATTTTTTTTATTATTACTTTTTTCACTTCACACAAGCTCATGTTTTCACATTGCATACATTCATTCGATTAGCATTACTCGTGACCTCTTGGAAGGCTTATCCTTGGTTATCACAATTCATGTGATTTAGTCCGATCGAGCCTCTAAGAGATATTTGTCCCTTTCGATTCCTCATTAGGTTTAGGATTGCATTCATATTAGTTACATCCAAATGCGATACATCTTTTGGTTAGAAATTAGGAAAATCATGATTAAATCATGCAACTAGCTTAGGTTAGGTTGAGAGGGTGCCTTAGATATTGTCTTGCCTTCCTTCTCTTCAACCGTGACCACCGAACCATTTTCTCTGATTTATCGTAGATTTTGGAGTCAATCTAAAAAGGTTTTTTTACATTTTTAAATCCACATTTTTTGGGTGACTTGGTACACCCTAATTCGATACCAAGTGGCGACTCCTACACTCTTATCAAAACCTTTTTAGATTACTATTTTGGCCAAACCGTCGCATTTCAAAGTCCCATGGCCTTTTTTCTTTTTCACACACATCACCAATTTAAAAACCATACTTCACTCATTCTTGTTTTTACTAAAAATGGGGCGCGACAAATTCGTTTTGCTAGATAAGTGAAATTGAGCTACAAATTGCAGCCAAGACTGTTTCTCGGACGAAAGCATTGCGGAAATTTAGTTATCTTTGCCACTTCACTAGGCTTATAGGAAATGAATTATGAGGTATATTTTATACCAACGGAAAGCCCTCGGAATCTAGTTTCGGATGCCACAAACAGCAATCGATTTCAACTCCTAGACAAAAAGTTATGATAAAAAAGTGAGCACTGGTTAGGTCTCCTGGTCAGAAAAGTTTCCAGATTTCTTCCTCACTTAAACCCTACTTTAACTCAACTAATTGTAAAGCTTTTTGGGAGATATTTAGTACACATAACCACCAACTTGTATCAAGCATTATTGCACATAATAACATTAAAATTCGAAATTAACATGAGAGTTTCAACAAGACAAAATTCGGACAGCATGCCTCTCTCATTCCTCTAGCTTTCTTTTTCCAACTTTCCAACTAGAGCTAACCATATCTTCCCATAATAAGCATCAAACCAGAAATTAAACATATAAAATCTTCAAAGTCTCTACTGATAAAGCCACCTCAAGTCCACTACTTAATGTCAAGGTTCTTGTGAACTCATCAACAACCCAACAACTAAACTAACTAGATTAACTTACTACTAAGATTTGGGAGGAAAAGTTGAGGTTTCTTTGGATGATTATCTTGCTGCCAAGATGAAGACTAAACACTAGGTTTGAGCTCTTAAATCACCAAAGTTTCTTCCTTGCTCAAGTCACTTTCCAAGCTTGTATGAAGAACCAAGATAAGAGCAAATTTAGAGAGCTTTGTTGGAGGAAAATGGAAGACAAGAGAGCTGAAATTTTTGTGAGGAAATGAGGGAGGGGGATCGGCCAAGAGGAGTGGAGAGGAAGAAAGGTTTTTGGTGGTAGTTGGGTGATTTAGTGGTGTCTAAGAAGGATTGACATAAAGGTATTCTTGGTGCCCAAAAGTCAACAATCGATTAGTGAGTAATTAGTGCTCCTAATTGAGTTTAACTTAACTCACTCACTTCTAATCTCTCAATTAACTTTTCTTAGTCTACTATTAATCATCTTTAATTCTCCAAAATTATTGTACTCTAGGACCGAACCTGTCTCGAAAAAGTGCATTCACTATTTCTCGTTAAACGAGCCGCAGAAAAATTAAATTCGCTAACGAAACGTTTTAAAAATATAAATGAGACATTGTTCCATACAAATGGATTTAAAATGAATGAAATAAATTATTCGGAGTAAATGAAAAAATAAATAATTAAATAAACCAGTAAAATAAAATAAAAGTAAGTAAATAGAAATCCAGGTCCTCACATTTGGGCTGTAAGCTGAACTTTGAATTATGTATTAAGATATTTTGGAGATGAACGCTTCGGCTTGTAATACTTAGTATTTATTGGTGTTATTGAATGTTTTACTCGTACTTCTTGTCTTGAGGTATTAGTATGTCCTGACGAGAGTTGGGTAGGCACCCCGTCGACCCCTCTGGTTCGCTTTAGGGGAAAGTGGGATCGTCGCACTATGAGAAAAAAAAAGTTCTCAAAAAATATAAAAGATTGTGACATATTCGCTAACGTTCCAAAAAATATTTTGATTCCTTAGACATTTTGTGAGCCTTTTAGGCTGCACACATGTATTTTTTTGAGTGAACTACTATAATCTCGAGCAACGAAAGAGAGTTAAAGGTAATTGAAATTAAACTAATTAATTTTATAAACAAGTTGAAAGAATATGCTTATAAAAAGGTTCATTAATATTTCAATTCTGAATATCATATTTTGTTCAAATTATAATCCACAAATTGATATTAAAGTTCATATATTATCAATTTCAACCATACAATACACTTAGTCTAAAATGGATATACCATGATATCCCTAAGAATTTTATAAAAAAGAACATAATTTTTATATGTTCACATCAGTCGCCTCATATTTCTTTCTCCAAGTGATTCTATTTGCATTACCATTTGAATCTGATTTTTTAAATAAATCAATGTGTATAATCTTGTACATATCTCAATAGTTCTCAATAGTTTCACAATTTAATAATGATATTGTCAATGCTCGATTCAACAATTTTTTTGAAATCAACTTTATTGAGATGAATTATGTTATATAAAAAATGAGTTAAAACAAGTAGAGCATGTAAGCAGAACATATATTACGAGGATCCGAAATTCTCTTTTACTGGCCCATTTATTTATTCATTTGCTCCAATTAATTTATTTTATTCATTTTAATTGCATCTGCATGATACATTGTCTCATTTTATATTTTTAACACATTTTCCCTTAAACTTAATTTTTCTGTCGCATAATTAATGAAAATTTGAGAAAACACGTTTTTCGAAGTAATATTTGGTCTGAGAGTGCAGTGGTCTTAGAGAGTTAAGAATGATCAATTGTAGATTAAAAAAAGTTAATTAAGGGATTCGAGGTAAGTGATTTGAATTAAACTCAATTAGAAGCATAAATGGATCACTATTCACATGTTGACTTTTGTACCATAAAAAGTGGCTTTATGTCACTTCTTTTTTCTACTCACATCACAGAAATCAAACAAAATCACTCTCTCTTCCTCCCTCTCATGGCCGAACCTTCCTCCTCTTTTAGCCAAGAAAATTTCATCTTCTTCCTCTCAATCTTGCTCACTAAACTTCCTTCCAACCTTGCTCACATCTTGGATCATCTTCAAGTTTGGTAGAAGACTTGCTGGAGGGAAGATTCTTGAAGGTTTAGTATTTGGTTTCTTGAGATTTTGCTTGTTATCCTTGGAGGAAGGTAACCTCTCCAAACTCCAATTTTTCTTCCATCCTTTCGCTAATTTTTAGTTAAATAAACTTGAGGTTGTTTGTAAGGCCCGAAGACAACCTAAGAGGGGGTGAATTATGTTAATTATAAAACTAATTAAGTTATGAGCATTTTTTGCTCAATATGAAATTTACCCTCTTTCTAAAAGATTACACAATGAATCAATCAATGAATAAACAATATCACTTGAGAGAAGTAGAAGATATAAGCCATTTAAAGATCACAAGATAACAATAAATAAATAAGAAGGGAAGAATTGCAAACCAATTGACTATCAAACTCCTCTTGAACTTGTAGATCAATTCAAACAAGTTTTTTCAAATTGATGAAATACAACCAATCTTGTGTACAAAGGAAGGCTCAGTTCCTCCTTGCCCCAATCTCCACTTGGTCAAATTAGG